CGGCCACAAAACTTAAAAACAAAGCAAAAAGGAGGCCTCCCAAGACAAAACTTAACCTACAACTAGGACATGAACAAGTTCACGATAAACCACAATTGATCCCTAAATTCGACGATTGGCAACAGCCACCTTTGACACCAGCAAACAACCGGAGATGAGGAAAACCGAGTTAAAAGTTTTACTGCTTTCACTTTACTAACGAGTTCCTTACGTCATAGCTTCCAAATACGTAATCACTGTACAGAAAGTGCCAGAAACAACGTCCTGCGCGAACAACAATCATAACGGGAATGCGGGACGTCGTGGCGCAACAACTTTTCATCGAAGCACACTTCCAAAACCGTATCACAATCGGAAATGTACAGAAATAAAGCCACTTCACGTCAACACACTTTACTGTACATAACACAGAGTAACATCAGCACTTTAGCACCGTTGAAGAGAACAATGAAGTAACTATTTTTATAACAGTTCTGTTCATAGAACAAACAGGGCAATCAATTTTCATCAGGCAAATGAAGCAAGTACAATGTTAGCATTAACATTTACAAAATGAGTTAAACGAGTCAAAGTCAAGTGAAGTGAAACTTGGAAGCCTTGCTGTATGCGGACGGTTCAGTGTGCCGTCTGCACGTCACCGATGCCACATTACCGCTTATTGCCCACGATCGTTTCATCGATTTCTTTCTTTTTGACCTTCAGGCGCTGAAAGCAGTTCAAACCGAACACTGTGGGAATTACCTCAATGAAATGGTACGCATAAACCTTAACCCTGCGCAATTTTACCCTGTATCATTTCCCGCTTTGATATCACTATGACACCGCTATTAGTGTGAAATGCAAAGGGAGAAAATGAACACACTGCTCGCTCTTTTCACGAGCGTATACTTCAACATAAGCCTCGTTTCCGCTTTACATTCACGTAAACATGGCTTCATGCAATGTCCCATATAGCCATATTCAGCGGAAAAAATCAAAAGAGGACATAGCAAACACCGCATTCCATTAGATTATGTTCAAACCTCATTTTATATACTTCATTGAATGCCTGCATATTGTAGTGGCCATAGCGGACATCAGGGTTTAAGCGAAGCAATAAAACAGCGATACTGTCGTTGGTGCTTACGGTTGGATATTATATCATCGGATACGTAAAAAAATGAACACGAGTTCGTTCCTGCAGGATACCTGGAGGTACCACCACTTCTAATCTCGTATTAAAAGAGTTCATGCTTAACAACATCGAAATTAGTAGAACGATCTAATTTTATAAACTGATGATTCGGACGGCACCTACATTATTGTCTACCACAAGAACTTCAATAAATTTCACTATATAAATAAATCATCAGCTATTTTCGATTTACTGACTGATGAATGCCTTTTCAAAATTTATCACAAATTGTCATTTCTGCGATACCTATGCCTTCTGATAAGACTAACCTCTTCAACCCATCCTGACACCGAAGCGAAGGTTTTCCTAAGGGCCGTTTACTCATAATTGGAATTCAGTGTAATGTCTCTCTAATCTATCAATGGTCGGTTCTTCTTGCAACGTGCCATGCCCACCGCCACTCAAAACTTGTTCAGTCGGGCAAACAACATTGCAGACTTATTTGTGTACTTATCCCTTCATTCATCTTTCAGCCTTTTTGGTATTCACAATAGACAGCTTTTGATGCTGCCTTGCGCGGTCTTTAGTTTAGAAATGGCTTTGAAAAACACGGTTCACTTTTCGCATCCCGCTTTCCTCACTAATTAATAAGTGTAGACTAAAGAAAGCAGGTTTTATTTTAAAAAAAGATTTACCCTTTTGTTTGTTCTTCATTCGTTTACCCTCCTTTCCTTAGGCTGAACCAAAAGCCTAATCCTAATCCATTTTGTGAAAAGTTAGCCCGACATAATGATGGAAACGCTTCTACTAAAGCCAGTAAGAACAGCTAATGCTTTTCCCAAAATTTACGACATATCAAGAATATCAGGAACTTGATGAGGTAATGATCGTCGAGTTGTAAGTACAAGAGATCTATGTTGTATTAGTGCAACCGATCAACGTTATACCGAGCTTAACAATGTAGTGCCGTTACATGTGTACAGAGAAAGGTTAGCAAGTTTCCCAGAGCTTACATGCACCATCACCACCAACACTAGAACCGCTGCACACATTTCGTACCTGTCTTATGGCACTGATTCGTTCAGCAATACTCAGCTGATGATCGGTGGATTTACGTATTTTCGAAGAAACTGACTGATACATCGGATTCTATAGACAACTGTGCTAAATGCACGCTGCGAAAAGGATGCACAGCCGAACCGTGACAACAGTTCAACGACCTACCTTCATGTTGAAATGGCTGAACCGAGGTTTCGTGAAGCTGCTTGAGCGATTCCTTGTCGACGGCTCCTGCGCTGCTGCAAGAGAATCAGAACCGATGTCATCAGTTGGCGATGAAAGTCGGCCATCAGCGCCATCATCCACAGACGGTGCTGAGGTGGGCATCGTGTCGATGAAAGGCACACTTTTAGCGGGCGACGAGTGAGGAGAAGGTATGGGGGATGCTTCAACAACAGAATTTGGCAGCGTCACCTCACATATTTTTGACACGATGGTTTTTGCTGAGGGTGGCAAGTCCTCTTCGTTGTCTGCACCCGCCAGGGAAAAAGATGGCTTGTAAGGTCCCTCAGGCGGGGTGGAAAAGAGAATCGATGAACATTTTGATGGGGACCAGCAAGGTGTCCTGAAAACTTCTTCCGGAATGGATTTCGCTGGAGAATCGCTACTGCAATTCGCTTCAGGCGCTTTCGACCGCCGGTGCCTTGTCTGGATCGGCTGGCAAAGAGGATTCTATAAGTGGTTCGTTAAATCGATTTTTTTCAAAAAATACTTATAATGCTACCTGGCCTCCAAGCGTATTACCCCAGGGATTTTCTGGTTCAAACGTGCTGTCACGATAATGCGAATGAACAGATTTCGCTTTAGTTGCCTCAGTGTTCTTCGAGATATTTTCGTTTCTTTCAACCAAATCTGGAAGCTTTGCGAGAGTGTGTGAGGGACTGATGCGGCTAGTGCTGAAAACTATAATATTAAGGAAAATTCGGGTTCTACGAATCTCACCCAACTCAGAAATAAGCACAGAACAGAACTAACATGAGCATATACCTTAATCATACAGTGTAGTATAACATTATCTGTCTAATGTGACCACATTATACACACCGTCATTAATAATGCGTGGTCTTATTACAATGCAAAAAACAAACTACCAGTCTGCAGTGTATGCTAATATAATACCGCCTGATTACACAATAATGCTTCGCAAAAGCGATATATTGCGGCTGAACAGAATAGACTGATACTTATATTTCATCATTGGAATGCACGGTTCTTTTATCGCAATACCGTCCAAAAATACGGAGTACTGCACCTTACCATAATCGCAGTATATAGGAATTCTCCATATGTTAAACTAGTACATCACGCATAAACGACATTTAATGCATCAATAATACAAGATATGCGAAGAGTATTAATCAGCAACAATATTATTATGTTCTATAATGGTATTAAATATCGTAAATATTAATACAATGGCACATGGAACAGAATTTACTAACATTTTTACAAGCATATTGTTAAATAAGAATTGCAACATATTTTAAAAAGTAGCAACTACAACAGTAATACAGAATCGTACAATACAATATCGTACAATACAATACAATATACGAAAACCAGCGTAACTTAAAGCTGTCTTTCCACGGGTGTAACGTACGATACTGGAACATCGATATACGTAGAAATATTATGAGGTATTAATAATAGTACATAGTACAACAATGACGAATGTAATACCATTCGAGTTCGATGTAATATGTTGAAACTAATCCGAATTATTGCAAACTTTGAATGTCAATTAAACATGAAAATGATGTACTAGAATGCCGTAGAGTATCATTATACATGGGTAAATGATCATGCATCGTACTGTATTTTGAACTCTACGCAAACACTGATATTCTACATAGTATATCTAATTCACTGTCATCAAATGCAGTAATAATACACTACTATCATATAAAATAATTTAATAAAAATTAAATATGATAAATTATTGTAACACT